TTCTGAAGGTAGCAGAGAATGTGCTAGATGCAATAATGCTCCTAATAGTACTGCTGCACGTACAGAAATAAAAGTATCGGAAGAAACGATCGTTTCTGCAAGTGCTCTGTGTAGTCCACATTCTAATAAAGCATACACTAGTAATGCTAAATGTATTTCTGTTATGTTTGGCCAACAAGATGAAAGAGATGGTAATATAAACTTTCCTTCGGCTGCAACAAAACCTTCAGATAATTTCCACGAATCTCGTGTTCTGCCAGGATCAACTGCAGCCAATGCAACATCTGGTTCATCGGTCCATGTCGGCAAAGGTAAATCCAATAATTCATAAAGTAATTCCAAAACAGCTCCACGAACTTCAAGCTGTTCAACGTATAAGATATCTGCTATAGCTTTAAGGCCAGAATTATTGGTAGGACAACAAAAATGTAAAACACCTGGATAAGAGCGTAATATACTCAATAATGCCATCTTACTTGCTGCAAATTTTTGATCTCGTTCCTCTTTTGTTCTTTCTGAGCTTGAAGAATGAAGTTCACAATATGGTGCTGCGAAACATAAAAGGGAAACGCTCCCTCTTGTATCAGGATTATTTAATAATTTTAACAAAACCCCCACAACGGATTCAACAGTTGAAGGGCTTTGCCCAGTCATAGCTGCTCGCGCGAGAGCGCTAACTCCTCCACAACTTATTAACAAATTTGAATTTAAGACTCCTAACTCGCAAAGAGTAGCTAAAAATACTCTGAATGCACGATCTCTTTCCTCTATGCCTCCATTAGTTAAACTTATAAGAGATCTGGCTAAGACAGGGCTGAAATGTTTTGGAGCTAAAGCTAAAATTCTTCTAACAAGTCTAAGAGCTTGAACTCTTTCCATTTCGTTTCGTAGATTAACATCCATACTACGTGCCACAAAATATGGGTATTGCAATTTATTAATAGCAATAACATCTTGCTCTTTCTTAAGCATATACCTTACAGCGCGTAGTGCTGCTGCACGTACTTGGGTTGCTTCATGTACAAGGCCTACGCGCATACTAAAAAAGAATAATTTTGGAAATAAAATAATAATCTAATAGTATAAAATTATAAAATTCTATTATCACCAAATTATGCATTCTTACCAACAAAATAGATCATCCATGGAATAACCATAATCAGATAAATTATTTTCACTAATTAATTTAACAATAGCATTAAGATAAGCTAGCTTCTTTACACTTGGTACATTATGTCGTTGACACAGATTAGTTAAAACTTCTTTAACGTTTTCTTTTAGCCCTACAAAAATAATTTATAATTATTATTGAATTATTTATAAAAAAAATATCGCCTTATGCATAAAGCAATAATTTCTTAATGTAATTTAAATTAATTTTTTAATAAATAAATCCAATCTATATACAACGAATATAAGTCTTATATTGAAGTTCATAAATTCGAAATATGACGACGTAGCAAGTACGTAGTATTTTTAAATAAATGAACTATTATAGTAGTGTCATCAAAACAGTTAGACTTAGAAATATTCTTCCCGATAAAAAAAAAATTATATTTTGTGTACGTTAAAAGAAATACTGCAAGTTACTCATCCATTTGATTTAAAAATAAGGCCTTATTTCTGTTGGTTAATAAAATTCTACGAATCTACATATAATCTTTTAGGTTAAGTCTCTAACCTCTTGACAGATCGAGTTGCACACAACTGTCTTCGTTATCTCGCCGACCTATGAGAAGTAAAATTATAATTATTAAAGTTATATAAAATTTATAATAGATTTTTCGATAATAAAGAACCACGCATTAACATTTAACGTACTTCGATTATATCTACTTGTACGTTGAGTCCAGATCAAATAACTAGAGATTGCCATTTCTTAGCCGGCTGCTACCCACGACCACTATTAACACTCTTCGTCCGACCGTTACCACGTGCCTTTTTCATGAAATATGTCATTCTCACGGCTTAACTCAACAAACGAAACACTTCAAGAACAATTTATTGATAAAAATCAATCAGTTGAATTCGAACTCGAGCAAAGTTTCTCTCCCACTCGAAAAATCTCGTTCACACTATCGTTAATTCTCGCGACGTAGCAGTCGCGTTAATTTCTCTCTTGCTAAAATTATAGATGTCTCAGTCGATTCGCAAAACTTTAACCTTCTTCTATCTCGTGTAACAGCGTTACCAATCGGCAAATTTAGAGAACTATCTCTCTCTAATAAGAAAATAATAATTTTATTTTATATCTATATTTGTGTATATATATATATATATATATATATATATATATATATTTATGATTTTTTTTTTTGAAAGAATAAAAAAGAAAAGAAAGAGAAACTGATATCGAATACAATTAATTTTATGATTTTCCGAATTTCCTTCTTTTGTTGACAATAATCGAAGTGCGTCCTAGATATTCATACAAATCTCGGCACAGATAAAATTATTTCTTCTTTTTCTTTCCTTTTACTTTCGTTTTCTTTCCTTCCTTTCGTTTTCTTTTTCTTTTTATTACGAGTCGCAACTTTTTATTATAACTTTGCCGCCTGCTATTTTTTTATTTTGTTAAATATGTATTTATTAATTTTTTGTTAAGTTGCAATATCGTAAATACAAAAATGACAGTAGTTTACTTGCCATTATACACATATAATTGTTAAATGATCTTAAATTTTTAAATTTTTAAACGAAAAAAGTGAAGTGTATTTTTATATTTTTGTTTTTACATATTATTAAGTAAAACATAGATGAGAAAAAGATAGAAAAAATAAAATATAAAAAACAACGTATTTTTAACTATTGAATGACGTGAAGTTGTATAGTGCGACAATAGCGACCTCGATTGCAAACTATATATCGATATATCAATTATGTATGAACATACTCTAACTTTGTAGTACATATTAGTTTTGTGGATCGAAGCGTTTTTTGACAATAGAGTTAAAGAAGTTTGCTTTTTCCAAAAATAATATTTAAAAAAATGGCTTACGCAGTAGATAATCTCGTTCAACCAAATATGGGTCCGATGTCTGATAATTTAGTTCCAGATTGGCTTCATTCCGAACAAAGTACTGGTGTAAGTTGAAAAGTGTTATTTTATTTGAAGGCTAGAATGACAATGCAATTATAAAAATATTCTTAAATATAAATGTATGTTTCATTGAATTTTCTATATTTTGCAACAATAACAAATTATAATGATTGCAATTGCTAATTGTTGGTTAACTTTATATTATAATTATATTTTTGATTATAGACCTCTATTATGGCTGTAGAATTTGATGGAGGTGTTGTCATAGGTGCAGATTCACGAGCTACCACAGGGTATTATGTTTTTAATAAAGTGGTTTATACATTATGTTTTTTACATTTTAAAGTTAACTATATTTTTAAATATTTCATTTCAGAGCATATATAAGTAATCGTTTTGCTGATAAGTTGACCAGAATCACAGATTATATCTATTGCTGCCGTTCTGGTTCTGCTGCAGATACCCAAGCTATTTCAGATATTGTTGAGTATCATTTAGATCTACACAGGTAAGAATCTAATTTTTAATTCATACATTCTGTATTTTATACTTTATAAATTTTTATTGAAATTGTCTAGAATGGAGCTTGGCACACAACCCTTGGTAGAGACAGCTGCTAATGTATTTCGTGAAATGTGCTACAATTATAGGGATTCCTTAATGGCAGGAATTTTAGTAGCTGGATGGGACAATCAAAAAGGAGGACAAGTATATAGCATTCCTTTAGGAGGTATGTGCGTTCGGCAGTCTATTGCTATTGGTGGCTCAGGTTCTTCATACGTTTATGGCTATGTAGACGCACATTATAAACCTAATATGACTAAAGACGAATGTGTTACTTTGGTGCAAAATAGTAAGTATAACAAAATTTGAATATTTTTGATACATTTTATTGTGAATTTATTTAAATATGTGATACTGAAATATTTTTACAGCATTGGCGTTGGCTATGTCTCGTGACGGTAGCAGTGGTGGTGTTATACGTCTTGGTGTAATTACAGATAAAGGAATTGATAGAAAAGTAATAATGGGTAATAAATTACCTCAATTCTACGAGGGGTAAAAATATTTCCATAATAACGAACTTTAAAATATACATATTTATCCGAATTAATACATTATTCTAAGATACAACATTTGTTAAATAAATGTAGATTAAAGGATATTTCTTGTAATTATGTATGAAAGAAAAAGATATCTTTTATGACCTATTCGTTTATGTCACAAGGGATTATAAATAATGTTTTGTGAAGCAATCGATTAAAAAGATTTTTTAAATACTTTTCAAAAATAATTTTCTTCTTATGAATGATTACTTTTAGTTATGCAATTTATTAATTTTGCGGCCTTATCGACGGTATGGTCTTCAAATGATATGGTACCGTCGTAATAATTTCGACGTTTTGGTCCGTCGATGTTACTGTACATTTACGATGCTTAATAACAGAAAAAATATGAACTTAACGATTAAAGCTTTTTGAATACGCTAGGTTTAATAGTTGTATAGATATAATTTTTATAGGAAGAAAATGAATCAAATAAACATGGTAAGTTCCGTACTATGTTTTCAATAAGTTGAAATACATTAGTCAAGTAGCCTCGGGTGGCCGTGGACCGCAAAATTTTAATCATATTCAGCCGGCGATTTTCAATAATTATGTTCTGTTAATCGTCGAATGAACATTTGTAGCTCATTGCGTTAACTATTCTTTGATGTTGAAAACTTGTAACAGGAAGAATCGTGGCCCTCAATCTGACCGAATACATACCCGTACTACTACTACTAAATTTAGGTCGTATTATCCACTTGCGATACCCACGAATATAATACCCCCAGTCGTTTAAGCGTATGTACTTAATTCTCATTGTTCGCTTAACGAGAAAATTGTCGCAACGGCACAAACTTAATGTATGTAATAACGCCAAACCACACAAGAGCTTTTGGATTATTCTGGGCTTGCAATACATGTTAGTACGTCTTTGCCAAAGGATGGATTAGGTTTCCTCCATAATTTGAAGTTTAGTGATTTGACAATGTTACAAGAATTCGGTTCACTTTATTGTCAATTGATCAAACATTGTTTCGTTATTAATATTCAAGAATAATATCTAATCTTTTCTCAAGAAAATTGAGAAATTTTTAAGACAATTGTAAAATTAAGAATTCATCAGAAATATGAATATTGTTATTTAATTAGAAATAATATTTATAAAAAAAGGTTTTTGTTAAAGTAAGAGGAGTACGATTTTGATCAAAGTTAATGAGTATAAGTAATTACGTATTAAAGATCATCTTTCTGTGAGCAAAAAAAAAAAGAAAAGAAATTTAGTGGAGCGCACAAAAATATCAAAAGAGCGTTATTAAACTATATAGATACTATCCTGAAAAAAGATGACTTCGGAAGACATTTCGGATGAACTGTTGACAAAATGGGTTCAGGAAATACCGACAGTTCAAGAAATTAACAAGTCCATGCAAAGCTTTGCTATTCCGGATTATACCGTTTTCGTCTTAATGCTTTCAGCTTCTGCTTTCGTTGGTATTTATTTTGGTTTTATAAAAAAAATTTCAGGAGAGGATGAATATTTAGTCGGTGGTAGAAACATGAAGGCATTTCCAATTGGTTTGAGTCTAATAGCCAGCTTTATATCAGGTAGAATGTTAGCAAGAATTTTTGTTTCTAGATTCTCATTTATACTATGTCAATGTTGTTAATTATAATAGTATATGCGTATTGTTTGTTAGGTATATCTTTACTGAGTATACCAACTGAGGTTTATGTTTATGGTACTAGTTATCTTTTCATCTCTTTTGGATTGATCATTACTGGCCTTGTTATGTCAAATGTATTTCTACCTGTTTTTCATGATTTAAAACTCACTAGCACGTACGAGTATCTTGAAAGACGTTTCGATAAAAGAATCCGATTATTAGGATCTGTCCTTTTTTCCATCAGTATGGTGAGTAATTTGTATAAACGAAAGATCTCTTTATGTTATCCTAACGATTGTTTAATTCTTGTATATTGGAATCGTACAGATAGTCTATCTACCCATTGTCATCTATGTACCAGCATTAGCTTTTAATCAAGGTGCGTCTATTCATCAATTAAAATGCTTGAATAAGAAATATTTTATTAACAAAAAAACTCATTAATCCATTAATCATTTTTAGTGACCGGAATTAATGTCCATATCATCACACCTTTTGTATGCATCATCTGTATTTTTTATACTTGTATGGTAAGAATTTATATCTTTTTGCTGTTGAAAATTTGGTTCATTTAAATAATGTTTAGATTGTTATTTGTAGGGTGGATTAAAAGCAGTGGTCTGGGCTGATTTTATTCAAGCTTTCGTGATGTTTGGATCGATGCTTTTGATCGTGATCAAAGGCACTTCAGATATAAATGGATTATCGGTTGTATTAGAAAGAAATCGGGATTCTGATAGACTCGAATTTCCAACGTTTGTATATTGAAAATTTAAATTCTATAAAGCTCGCTATATTTATAAAATACATTTATTTTATATTAAACAAAATATAGATTAGATTGGAGTCCTATGGCGAGACATACAGTTTGGTCGCTTATAATTGGAGGATTTGTTCAATGGTTGCAATCTTTGGCAATAAGTCAGAACATAATCCAGCTTTTTCTCGCACTACCTACTTTGCAGTTGGCTAGGAGGTAGTTGAAAAATTTTGAATTATGTAATAATTTTACATAATTTTGTATAGAATAAAGAGTCACTTATTGGTTTTTAGGGCACTCTGGTGTTTTATTATCGGAGTTTCATTAATCGTGGGAACGTGTGGATATGCAGGATTGTTAATATATGCTTGGTATTATAAATGTGATCCTCTGACGACGAAAGTAATTAAATTTTATCATTTTTATATTTACTATTTTATTAAATATCTTTAGATAATTTATTGATCGATCAATTATAGTTGGCTGGTACAAAGGATCAGCTTTTACCTCTTTTAGTTATGAACGTTTTGGGAGATTATCCTGGATTACCTGGTTTATTTGTTGCTGGAGTATTCAGTGCTGCTCTCAGGTATTACATATTTTTTATGGTTTGGTACAAATTAAAAATAAATTAAATGTCTTAGCAGTGATCATTTGTTCCAATAATTTATAGTTCTTTATCAACTGGTTTGAACTCTATGGCAGCGGTCGTATTAGAAGACTTTATTAAGCCATTTCGTAAAACAGGATTCACTCCTAGAATCACTGATATACTTATAAAATGTATAGTTATTATCATAGGAGTAATTTGTGTGGCTCTCGCTTTTATCGTCGAAAAAACTGGATCGCATGTTTTGCAGGTAAAAAATCAGTGAAAACGATACTTGATATATCTCTTGATAAATATTTCAAGTAATTCAGAAGTGTGAATGATGATCTAACTTTGTTTTTTTAATCCACGATAAAGTTATCTATCAGTTTAAATTCTATCACAAATGGTCCATCTCTTGGTATTTTTACTATGGGGGTTCTAATGCCTTGGGTAAATGCAAAGGTATTTCTGATATTGTTATTATAACATTTTTTGAAAGTACGGTTTACTTATTTCATTCGTGTATAATAATTGTTAGGGTGCTCTCATTGGTGGTTTAGCTGGTTGTGGTTTTATGAGTTGGATCACTCTAACAGCTCAAGCAGCTATAGCTACTGGAAGAATGAAGTAAGTAATTTTTTCTGTAAAATGTAATTATAAACGAACAAAGAAAATTTCAAATTTGATTTAATATCTATTTTTAAACAGATTCGATGAAAAACCTGTTTCCATTAAAGAATGTACATATTCATTTCCTCAAGTAGAAAATCTCTTTTTATTGACACCTCCTGAAACTGTATTGAACGAAGAAGACGGGAATTTATTTCCGTATGTAACCCATTTTATGCAAAAATTTTATTATAAGCAACCAGTAAATGATTTATCTTAAAATTATTATATATAACAGTGAGCTATGGGCATTGTATCGTATCAGTTATTTATGGTATACCGTAATTGGTACTTTGGTTACCCTGAGTATTGGTCTTATAGTAAGTATTATTTCTTCCGAGGATGTTGACAAATTAGATCCTATGCTATTAGCTCCATTTATAAGAAAGTTCCTGAGATCTTCTAACAAAGATTTACGACAAACACAGGTGACCAATTACGAAGATTCTCTAAATTGTGAAAATTAAAAAGATTTGTATGTAATTATATATTTCTTTTTCCCACAGATTGCAAAAACCAATCTCAAAGTAGAAGAACAAATGGACACTGAAGATGATAAAATTTTTGCAGTGTCATCGATATGATAATGATTAGTTATGTAAGATTTGTTTACAAAAGAAATTTTATATTTTAATTTTTATTATTTTTTATACAAAATTATGCTACACACATGTATTTATATCGTTGTATTTACGATCTTATTACGAAATATCTGTTTTGGAAAAGAATTTGAACTCTAGATGACGGATTTATAATTGTATATTTGAAAATACATTTAAATTTTGCTTAAAATGTTGCATAAACATAACATATGTGAAGTCTTCACGATAAAGTTCATTATTTATTAATCTATATTCTATAATTGTTTTTTGCGTATCACACGTAGGAATACATTATTTATTAAATCTTATAAAATATTCGATTTATCATTTTTTCTTTTCATTTCTTCACTTTTTCAGTATGAGATAATAGAATGATTGTAACGGATCTTTTTCTACTCGTAGAAAAAGATTTATTTATGAATTGTCATCGAAAAAAGAGTACACACTTATATTATTATTACAATAAAAAGGATTATATAAAGAATAATTAATATCAAAAGAAAAAAAATGTATTTTTCGTCCTTAACGAAAAGTAAAGATACTTTAAAGGCAGACATAATTCTAGATATGATTGTGTGTGTATATATTGATATATATAATATAAGCATATACAGAGTATACCAGCTAACTTTGTCACTTGAAATATTTCTATTATTTTTTATTTTATAAAAAAAATGCTTAGTAAAAAATTAAACTTTCTCAAGGTCATTTTTACGAGATCATTTGTGTCTTTTGTATAAATTGATTCCTCGTGTTATTCTGAATGAAAAAGTAGTAGAGAAAAAAGTCGGAAAATGATTAATTCGCTAAGTATTTTTAAATATGTCTGATGATTGTACAACTATAACAAACCAGATTTTTTTTTGATTGAAGTTAGAAAAAAATGTTAGAGGAGAAAGATGAATAGTGTTCATGAAATGCATTCATTCTTTTCACGAGCCCTTTGGGTATATCTTTCAAAAACAATGAAAATATTTTCGATGATAAAGTTTGCTGGTACATATTGTATATATGTGGTCAATTTATATATTTACAAAGTCATATTTGTATAACAAATACTTCAATACTTATTAATTGATTTATTTCCAAGTTTTGTGTCCTTCGTGCAGACTGTAATATTTATTGAGAATTGATATATCGAAATACAAGTTATATGAAAAATTGTATCTAAATATAAGCTACACTCTCCTCTTTTATATTATATTTTATATTATTATATATAAGAATAATTATTGTACAAGAAAAAGACAAAGTAATATATTTGTCTGTACTTATAGAAGAAGTCAAACTGCACGATTACAGATATTTTTAATAAAAATTTCTATATCAATTTTATTATTATATACACTTATGTCTTTTCGAACTTTATCTGACAGAGTTTTTCTAAGTAGTACATGACTTGTCTCCACACAATGCTTTCCAACATTTTTTATACTTGTCACATTTATATATCGAATAATAGATAAACAATTTCTACGAAATCGTCATTTCACTTATAAATTTTTATATATATATATAAATCATAAATTTACTTATAAATAATTTAAACGTAAAAACAAGAGATACCAGTAAAGATCATGGAGCTTTGCATAGTTTTTCTCTTTTATACTTCTAGCATGCAAAAATGTTGATTGTATTTATCAAAAATGATTGATAAATGATGAAAAATACATTCCGCGGAATGCCTTTTTGGAAAATTAATGTGAATAATTAAAAAGAGCGTATTTAAAAAAAACACCACTCTGTTTTGTGCTCTAACTCTGTAACAAACAATTCTTTTCTTATTGTTATTGTTATTCTTCTTCTTATTATTATTATTAAAATATGAAGGAAATCATGTTCTGGATTCTAAACTTGGCAATCTTTTTCACTCGAACATTTAATATATATTAAAAAAATATATATGTATGTGTTTATATATATATATTCTATAATAAAAATAATCTAGTATAGGTACATATAACAACGTTCTTATAAAAGCGTATAAAAAGATATATGAAGAATCCAGTGTTATGATTAGCTTTTATCTTTTCATTACGAATAAAGTATAGATCAGGAAGTAAATCTTTTTAATGTTTTATTTCAATTTTAGACTAGATTAAGAGAACTTGATACTATACGCAAAACAACACATTTGTCAGACTGAATGATTTTAAGATAAAATTGACATTCATTTTACGGGGAGGAACACTTAAAAAGCTGGTAAAAAAATATTCTTTGTACTCTTCAAATACACCAAGCTAAGCTATCAAAAAGATAATGATATAGCGATCGTGCATTAATACAACTAAATTGTATATAAAATATTTAATAATCTTTTATATTATTTTCTTTTATCACTAGAGAAAAAAATATCTGTAGAATTATTATATAAGATATATATATATATATAGGTATATATGCACGGTCTCATAACATCTATGAAAATAGCATTCTTAATATTTCTTTCTTTTTTTTGTTTCTACAATAAAAATATTATTTATATATTTTAATTTTACATTACATATCTTTAACGTAATTTATATGTATATGTGGTCGTTTGCGAAACACTATTACGCAAATATTGGATCGTAAAAAGAAGTAAAAATTTCATGTAAATGATTAAAGTTATAAATAATTCAAAGATTAATTCTCTCTTTTTTTTTTTATTAATAGAATAAAAAAACATCATATGAAATATCTACATTTAATATTTCTCTAAAGAATAATATCGCGCTAAATTACGAAAAAAAATTACAATATTATAATTAAATGACAATTTTAGCCATAACGTGTACGTTTAAGATATCCAATGTTTTTCAACTTATTGTTAAACGTTTTTTAAGTACATTTAAACATATCATTAACTCATACAGCTACTGTATCCTAATTGATTTTTTTATACGTACGATGTATAATAATATTAATTCATATAATTCTATTTCTCTTTTAAAAAGAATGTGTATACATATATATAGGATGTCTCAGTTTTGTTTCGTCGAACGTTATCAACATATTTTACAAAAAAAAAATAAAACAAAAATATCATATAAATATAGACTCATAAATGCTTTATTAAAAAGTTGTAAATAAAAATATGAACTAATATCTACGGGAAATAGAAACTATTGCATTACTAATTTCATATTCATTTTCCTTCATTTTTGTAAATACATCGTAAATTTTTAGTTTTAACTCCTGATGAAACATCAGTTCTTAATCATTTCGTATTTTTAATTTACTTTTGCTTGTAGAATATGTTAGTAACGTTTGACGGGAAAAAACTGGGATACCCTGTATATTTGAGGCACTCGGAACGTCAAACGAGTTCGAGGAAACATTTCTTTGACATAATTTAAAAAGATCTTACATAGCTTTGGAGCAAAATATTAAGATAATAATAACATATGAATGTTAAAAGCTGAAAAGAAATTAAAGAAAGAAAAAGAAAATATATGAATATAGTATGAAAGTATTTTTATAAAAGGTCTCATCACTTCCATCTTTTTCTTTTTTTTTGTGCTGAAAAATTGTATGGTACCCATATAAGAACATTTTTTTCTGGAGGTATCATTGTGATTTAAAAATATTTCAGTGAATTTCGTTAAAGAATCAATCTCTTTAGAATACGAAATGCACAAAACATCGATATTGCTATGTTTGCTGGCAGGATACTGTCTGAGAAGGTAACGGTGGCGGCAAGGGTGCGTTTTCCTCATGAATCATTATCAGTCTACCATATTTCACCATTCTTCTTTTTTGTTTATGCTGCAATTATACGTATAACGACTTTGGCTTCTGACCATCGTCATTGAAATATTTAAACAATTGGAATTGATGATATACTACACAAATAAAATTGTGTATATCATACAAAAATATGATTAGAAATAAAAATTTCAGTCATTCCTTTCATACTCTAAATGCAAATAATAGATGGCTTAATTTGAACATTGTGAATATATTTTATCTTGTAAATAAAGATGAAAAATAAATATGGGAGTATGTATCAAAGTTTTACACTCATAGCAGAACATTCGCATGTGTAACAAAAATTCATATAAGAATGGAAATATTCTTTTTTGATCATGCTGTATTAAATGAGAGAAGTATTCTCTTTTCGTTAATTTGTTTTACATACGAATACCTTATAGTGAGCATATGTTGAGATACTGAATATTCATACATAAGTGGATTCATGTACAACGGTCAATAAAAATAAACTAGGATAAATTTAAATATGAAAACTAAAAAATGAATTCAGGCAGTGAATAAAACACAATACAAGTTCATTGTCTGGAGAAATAAATAAACGATGATACTGATAAAAGGTTTTTATATCGATTCCATAGGAAATCCTCTTGGAATAGTAATAAAGTTGTTTCTAACCTGAGATGTAAGACCAATCCAACTGCTATTACTGCTTCCACTATCACTTTCGCTAGAAGTTATTCCATCCTCGAGCATCAGTTTTGTCCCAAAGCCTTCAAGTTCCAAATCAAAGTAAAGTTGACCTAACTGTTCATTCACTAAAAGCGGTTGACTAATTTTCTTTAAACTGTCCATGTCAGATTCGAGTACTTCGTTTAAAGTCTTTGGACGAAGTTGATACTCATATATCAACTCTGGTGTTAATTGGACTCCTTCTAACCAAGGCGGATCTCTTCTGTGTATTGCATGTTTTACCTTTGCTGCTTCTTGCGAGTTCTATATATACATATATAAAAATACAAATTTGTTGTTAATACATTTTGACTCTGTTTTGCTGCATACACACACATATATATATATATATATATATATATAGATTCATTTACCTCTGCAACTTGTTCGGTTGTCTTTTGATCGGGATTACAGTTACTTTCACTACTTTTATACAAGAGACTACTATAGAAACTCGAAGAACTAGACTCATTACTGTTGTAATCAATATTCATATGTTGTTTGTTATTTATTGGCGTTGGTATGTCTACAACACTGGAACAACCACCATCGTTACTGATACAAGAAGAAAAAAGCTCACCTGGGGATAACACCTATAATATGAATAAAATAAAAAGTAAATTCTCTCCCTCTCTCTCTCTCTCTCTCTCTCTCTATCTCTCTCATTAAACAAATAACTGGATAAATACGTTAGAAGGATAGAAAGATATACCTTTTTCGATGATTCGGACATAGCCATAATGCTACCTGGTTCGGCCTTGATGCTTGTTGCTTGACTAGCAGATCTTTTTCTGTCCATAGATTTAGCATTTTCTTGTGGCATAGAAGCTTGCTCGGGTATTAAAAAAGGTTGATACATCATTGTCCCTGGAGTTGAAGTACCGATTATCGGGGGATACATGACACCGGGCATTGCTGTTGCGACGTACGATACTGGAACAAACACTACATTCCTCTTATAAGTTCTCAATGTTCCCGATCTTCCATAAGTTGCAAAAGAAATATAAATGTATATATTTCTATGTACCAATACATAAAATATTATTAATTAATTGATACATACTATACGGGCTTTGTTGCGACATTGGTACTGATGAAGGAATAACGTTTGTCGGTGGTTGAGAATATTTTGCTGTTGGTATAGGAACGTCAATTTGTTGTGGAACAGGCAAGTAATATGCAGGTATCATTTGTGGAATCATTGGAATTCTTGGAATAGCTTGACAATTGACACTATAAAAAAGTTGGACATATATATAATTAGCACATATACAGGGTGAGTCTTTTAACATGACGATAAATCCCATAAGTCTCACTTTGTAAATACTTTTTTACGCAAAATTTGAGATCTCAATAAAGAAGATATGATAATAACAAAGGGGACACTGAATGTCCCCCTAGATATCATGCAACTTTTGTTTAAAACATTTGTTCGTACAACGAATAACTTACGAGTTATTTGAAATCGTCATTTTAAGAGACACTCACCTTTATATACAAAGTGATCACTCTGTATATAAAATAAATAAATCTTACATAAATGTTTAAAAACCATAGAAATATATAATAGAATTACTTTTGGTTAATACATGGTAGAACAGGAGTTGCTGATGGTACAGTTACTGACAAGGATGGCCACAAATTGATATTTCCATTGGTTTGAAACACCGTAGATGTTTGATCAACGCTCATACTCGCGATAGTAGTAGCAACATTTATTGGTAATGGACCGACAGTGCTCGTCCTGGAAACTTCATCTTGTTTCGAAACCTAATATATTTAGAAAATAAAAAGAAATAAAAATAAAAAAATAAAAAATTATACTCGTCGAAAGTAATGACGAACGGAATGAAAAAAAAGGAAACGAAAGATCGTAAAAATAATTCTTACCTTGAAACTATCACCTTCCCAGCTATGACTACCACTTCTCTTGATACCGTGACATTGACCAATGTAATGATTATTCTGATCCACTGATATCTTCTCGATCGACGTTTTTATACGCAAATCTTTTAACTTATCATTATTTTTTATACTTGATCGTAATTCTCGATGCTTTTGCATCATCATTTTCTCCATATCCTCATTATGACGACTTAATAGGGACTCGGTTAGAATTGGTTGCTTAAAACTCTCTGTCGTAGTGGTGGTGTTGCTATTTGTTGTATTGGAAGTATTATCTCTCCTTGCGGAAATAGGTAAATTGTTCGAACTGCTGCTAAGATTTTCAGCGCTGCCACTTCCGCTAGCACCGCTACCGTTTATCGGTGACATACATTTTCTTGCTGAAAAAGGAAAGCAAATTTATCTATTAGCGTTGAAACGAATGGCAATCATCTCCAAAAAAGAAAACATCCATGAATCATGAATTCATGAATCAAGATCTTATGATATAGATTACCTGCTGAATTAGGACTAGTTTTACCGCCCTCGTCGTTGCTCAAATTCAAAATTTCCTCGTCGCTACCATACATGGTTGCAACCGATGGTTTACTCTTAAAAAATCTCTCGATGTTTTCATTGTAGTTAAGCTGATTGTAACTGGGTGGTGTTTCCGTGGACGATTTGCTGTCGTAGTATTCGTGATGAGGCGATATCTCACCAAGCATCACGCTATCGTGCTCCTGTAACAAGGGATTGCGTGATCCCTTCACAAGTATATTGTAGCGACTTAGAAAAAATTGTCACCTAGATTGTCATCATCAGTTTTTGCATTGCGTTTACCACTGCACTATACTCGATTCAAAAGTGGTCAGTTTTGTTAGGAGTACGCGTGGATTTTCTAATACGCGTTAGAACCTGCCTTCTATGCGATTTATCTGCAAGCCTGCCTGCCGTATGTCCCGGCTGCATATATTGTTAAGGCTTGTACAATTGTCAACAAAATTCTATTTACAACATGCTTTTGAATATAAAATCTTTCCGTTTGACTAAAGTTCAACAATCATCAATCGAGATCCAAGAAAAAGAATAATATTCCACGAACTCTTCTATACTATTATCTTTCCATAAGCTTTCACTTTTTATTTAAATAACTCCGTGATAAAATTACAAATTACGCATTGTGAGAGATAACTAATATCGTATCTACAACATTATACGACGATGTATCAAAATTACAAATGAATGAGAATCACCAGAATTGAATTAATTTGATTTCAATATCTTTGATCTTAATTCTAAAATAAAAAATTAATTCAGCGATATTTAAAACTACGATCGTCAAATTTCATATTTATTCTCTCCCTTTCTCGTTAGTTTCAAAACCTTGTAAGTGAGTGAATATACCCATAGCCTTTTAACATTAATCATCTCAATTTATACTAAATCCGGTTTGTTCGTTAAATCGAGATGAAAAAGATCGTACGAAGAATCTCGATCGTATGTCGAGAATGAGAAAAAATCCGTTCTATAAAGAAAGACTAGCCTTCATTTCAACGATCAGATGTCTGTAAGAATTGTTTAAAACAAAGCGAAAAGATCAGCAGAATCGAATCAAGAAAACAAACGATTCATTGTATCACAACACAAATTGTATTAATTAAATCAGATCATTCCATGCTCCAATGCGATTGATGTCGAAATTCAGAGGGCAAAAATGGGGTATGAGAAAAAAAAAAGTGGCTATGGAAAATAGAACTGCGAAGGGATCTTCAATTATAATTAAAAATATCGATCTTCAAATTGGCATCTTTCGTCCACAATATTCAAATAAGAGAATCATTATAGAATAATGTGATGTATATTTGTTTTCTTTGATAATTATTATCGATAAGTTGTTTAAAAAAAAAACGCATCTTTCTACGACTTTATAGAGGCTTTGCGCGTATTATCTATTGTTATATTATATAAAATATTGAAAATGTAAAAAAAAGTAAAGACTTACCAAAAACATGCCTACAAGGTTTTGAAATTGACTCTATCCTTCACCGAGGCCCTATATAACTTTTCTTTTTTTTCTTTGCTCACCATCTGTGACTACGTCCAAAATAACTTTTAGTAGGCTTTTATTATGATTTTGTTTGTTTCTTTTTTCCTTACCACTACACCATATTACTTGTTACTATAGCAGATGTTTTGTAGAAAAACACTCTGCGCTAATATTGAAAAATAACTTGTGAGATGCATTTATTTTTGGGAATTATTCTTACTTCTTTTTATATATA